TTTGTGTTTGAGTTTGTCCAGGAGCTCCTTGTTCATCCATGCAGGCCTCCTGGTGTTTTTGCCCGACTTCCTCTTTGTTGGGATGCATCGCTCCTGAGCTTGGAGGAGGTGATCCTTGAATGTTAACCAGCTTTCCTGGGGCCCTCTTCCCTCCAGGGGTTTATCCCATGGTACTCTGTCAAGCAGATCCCTGAAGAGGCCCAAGTCTGCTCTCCTGAAGGCCAGGGTAGTGAGCTTGCTGTGTGCCCTCCTCAGTGCCCTAAGGATCTTGAACTCCACCATTTTGTGGTCACTGCAGCCCAGGCTGCCCTTAATCATTGCTACTGACCGTTTGTACTCTGCTAGTCAGCTACATTCATGAGTTGGACTGACACCCGCATCCTTCACAGTCCCCATTTCCAGCAAAGGGGAACGATTCCTGTCTCTTGCAGTCCTGTACAGAAAGGCCCAGAGCAGTTGTTTGTGCAGACCCATTGCAGTGCATGGTGGCCACAGGCCCGCCTCACAAGGAGCTCACAAGGCATCTCACAGACGGGGAGTGAGTGTCTGAGGTCTTCCATGTCTCATCAACTGCTTGCCTTTGTTTTCTCCCCACAGGCACCTCACTAGTTCAGCACCTGATGACAGTGCTGATAAGTGAACAGGGGCGAATCTTCGCTGTTCCTCAGGCAGATGTGCCAGGGAGCCAGCTGGAGATCAGACCTGTGCGTCAGCGCAGTACTGTGGAGTGGATCTCCGAGGAGGACGGGGAGGACAGCAGGTCGGAGAACAGTGTTCCTAGCCCTGCTGATTTGCCTTCTGGCAATGCTGTGGCACTAGAGGCCACTCCTGGACCTGTGGTGAAAAACACTCCTTCAGAGCACAGTGGCAAATTGACTCAGCCTGCCACCAGCCCCAACAAAAGAATGCAGACACTGCCTCCGTGGAAATACTCCTTCCGCCAGCAGGGAGCACGGTCTGTGAGTCCAAAGCTGGGCAGCTCATCCTTAGATATCCCCAACCTCTCCTCCAGTGGGAACTGGTTGATGAATGGACTGTACTCTCTCCGAGGCCATCGCCGGACAGCCTCTGGGGAACGAGTTAAAGACTCATGTTCTTCCCAGAGACTCTCTACTTACGACAACGTCCCTTCGTCCAGCCTCTCCCTTAGCACACACAGTATGGCCAGCACCACATGGTCTACATCATCATGTGAAATCTCTGTGGTGGACTCGGTCAGCAGCTGCCCAGCCTGCCGGGCCAGTGACTCTTCTGCTTTAAGCTCTCTCAAAACCGAGTGGATAACTCAGGGCTCACTGTCTCAGAGTGAGGTCAAGATTGCAGATCTGGAGAACAGCATCGACAGGTTTGAAGCATGCAGCAGCAGTGACCAGAGCAACCCGGCTGCAGCTTCCAGAGACTCTGTCAAATGCTCTAGGGCCTTACAGAGCTTGGTGGTGGAGCTAAAGACAGAACTGAGCAAACAGAGGACTGAGTACGAGACTAGTATCAAAAGGTAATGTCATCTGCAGGGGGGACAAGGAAGTCATCTGTCAGCATTACCCCTGTTTGAACATGGGTGTGGGCTACCAAGCATATCAGGTTCTCAGACCTGAAGTTTGGGTTTGGGAGACAGCAGATTTGGTTCTGCTCTTTCCTCACTGCTCTCTGAATCCAACTTTTCTCTCTCTGATCTAACAGACTGTCAAAAAAATGGGATTTCTGTCACACAGGGAATTCCAATATTTGACATTCTATGTTTTCACTGGAAATCTGAATTGCACAGGTAAGCCAAAGTCTGCTCTTTGTAAGCGACCTGGGAGAAACAGCAAAGCAAACAGCTGTCTTGGAGGGGGAAAGACTGGGACCCAGAGTGGTCAGGCCTCAGCAAGGAACTCTGTTGCTCTGTGCAGGTGCTGAGATTTGTACCAAATCAGTCTGAAATTGAGGGCTTCTTGCTGCTTTGCCCAACAGAAACATTCTTCAGGAAACTGATTTTGACTGTTCTCTGGGGGTTTTTTTGGTGGCAGTGGTGGTGGTATTGCATCTCAGTTACAACTTTCAGCAGCCCTTTTGTGTTGAACTTTTCTAGAAACCTTGCTTTTGATTTTTGATGTACTTGTAGTGGTCCTTTGCTCGCTTGGCCAGCTACTGACTCAAAGTAGCAGCAAGGTGCTGCTTGTACAGCAGATACGTGAACTGTGCAGGTCTTTGCCCGCTCTGATGTTTACTGCAACTGCTGGTTCTGTACTTTAGATCTGTGCTCAGAAAAATCCCCTCCAGTTTTCAGGAGAGGTGTGTGTGAGGGCAGGGGCTGTAGGAAATAGAAAGTATTAATAACTAGGAAGTCATATTTATTCATTTGTGTGAGTTAGTATATTAGGTTTTATGAGTGTAAGTGCTTAATAGAATGACTTTCAGGCAAGTACTCAGGGAAATATGCACATGAAATATTGTTGCTTAAAGGAATTAGATATGTTTTAATTGCACACTCTGTTATAATACAGAAGAATCGTCATTGTCCTGGGCTCTGCAGCATTGGTACTTTGCACTGAAGAAGGGCCGTAGTCCCATTTCTTACAAATAGTTGAGTTCTCAGCTGTTTTTGTGTGTTAAGGTGTTAATGTTACACTTCTTCAATTATTAAAACTCTGGTAGCATTTACATGCCTCAATTTCCAATCAGTCTCCCAAACATGGTACCAAAAGCACATACCACTGTCTGTAGGGATTGTATAGCACAGCTTTAGGCTACATTTGTTGCCCCTTTTTTCTTGTTAATTTCTCAAAAACGTATCTGAACTGTGATCTCTTCCAGTGGGCCAGCTTTTAAGGTAGAAATTTCACTTGCTACCTTCCTGCTTTATTTTATGATTTCCTATGGTGGTGTCTTGCTAGTCTCTGCAGCTTTTCTGCCTCTTGCATTGTACTGCCTTGGTATGTGAGGCTGGAAGGAAAATCAGGCCACGTAGCAGTTTCAGTTCCCTTAACATCAGAGTGGGGGAAAAGCTTACCCCCGCCTTGTTGTGTTCCAGGTAGAAGAGCTGATGAGACCACCACTAGTTGCTAGCATGGTGTGTTGGAAAAGGTCTGTGAATGAAAATGCTAGTTCATGGAGGGTTTTGGTTGTTTTCTTTTTTAGCTGCCCTACTGATGTAGAGCGGGAGGGAGATGAGATGAGGGTATGTGCCTTGCATTTAGTTCTGCAGAGCTGCCCTGGCAAGCCTTGTTGCAGGGATAGAGAGTAATAAACAGAAAGGAGGCTGCAAAACTTGGAAATGTCTATCTGCACATTTTTACCTGCTGCCTGGGGGAAGAAATGGCTTTCCACCTCTTGTCAGTAAAACTGTTCCAACGGGTCCTTCAGCTGTTGACATCAGGGACATCCAGGAAGACCTGTTCCTCATTCCAGCTGTTGAGCATTTTCAGCTGTTTCAGCTCTAACACCTGCCTTTCCCCTTCAGCTGGACAGGGACAGAGCGCACTGTGGCTGGAGGGGAGGACTATAAATTGGCCAGGTCTCACAGGGCAAAGTAGCTAAGAGGAAAATGCCTAATGAACTAATAGTTTCATAAAACCAGGCAAGATGCAATCACTGCGTTTTTGTATTAAACAGGATGATTCCAGCTGTTTAGGATTACAGCCCGAAGGATCTTGCTGTCAAGTCTAAGGATTTCAAGCCAAGTTTTTCAGCTCTCAAAAATCTTGCAATGTTTTTACTACATCTGCAGCAATTTACATGTGCAAAAATATGTTCCTTTTGAGACCGCATGAAAGTCTGCTCCTGTGGAAAGACAGGAGCTAACTAGCAAAGAAGGGAGGCTGCTTAGCAGGAAAGCTTTGGGCTGCCTCACTAGCTTTATTTTATTGAAGATAATTTAGTCCCCAAAAGTAATAATTAGTTCCTTTACAATTGTACATGTGCTTGTGTGGTTTGCAGAACTCTGTGTGTGTAGCGGGGCATGTTTTAATGAAGGAATATGAGCTTTTTGTTGGCACATACATAAGTGGAGGGAAAGCAGAGTCAGTACCTGCCTGGGGCAGAGGTAAGGAACACTTGCTGATGGAAAAGCTGTTATTTATCATCATCAACTGCCCATTTTCCCTCTTAGTCAGAGGGAGGCAAGTTTTATGGCCTTCCTGTAACCAGTCTGTTCCAGAGCATTTCTCCCTCGAGGTTAGTATAATTATCGGTTTCAGTAATTCATGTTTACCACCTGGGACTCTTAAGAAACTGGAAGTGTCTTGGAGAGGATGATTATGTTGCGTGTGCAGAAACGCACTAAGTACTGTGACCCTATGTAACTAATTCAGAACATGGACAGCTAGTCCAGGCTGCTGTAGCCGACCCCTAAAATTTCATGGTAGAAAAAATCAATTGGTAGCTCAGATCCATAGGACGTAACAAAAATGTTAGGGGCAGGGGGGAAGGAAGGGAAGCATCCTAGCTTCGGAAGAGTCCTTTTGTATTACAGAAGACAGCGATCTGGGTGATAAAAGTCTGCCTTCACTGAGATGGGCATTTTTTTGCAGACATACTGCACATTTCTGTTCACTCATCAGCGCAGCTGTTGGTTTGCTGGACTTGGTGATCAGTGCACCTATGTGTGACTTTCTAATTTGTTGTGAAAGTTGTGGCAATGATCATATTGCCATCCTTAGCTGTATGTGAAGGAATAGTTTATTATGCATTGCCTGCATAATTGCCTCTTGGTGGTCACAAAATAGAATTCAGACCCTTCTGGGACTGTCACAAAGGTCCCTTTTTTTGTTTGTTTGTGGTGGAGTCTGTAGCATGCCCTTGTTGAGTGTCATTTACCCTGTTTAAAAATAACCTATTCACAGTTTCACAGGGAAGCCAGGCCCCCCAGCTTCACAGCTGGGTATTATACTGATCAACCAATCTAAGAGGTGGTGGTGGTTTGTTTTTTTTTTAAAGTTAGAGGGGGGAAACTTTTCCTAGGAAAAGCCTAATTTTTAAAATCACCCTTTCTGAATATTCTAGTGATCAGAAATTCCTGTCTAGATACACTCCCTGCTCTGTATTAACACCACTACTCTGTCCTGCAATTAGGAAACATGATGGGGAGGACAGCAAGTGATGTGCCTTCTGCGCTTGTTTCAAATAAAAAAACCCATGAACCTTGTTGTTTGACCTCCCTAGAGAAAAGCTCTGAGTCTTGCATTAGAGCTGTGTGCACAGATGAACTATTTAAGGTCTGTTCTTCAGATTCTTCCTCATATAAAAAGTTGGTTTTTGTAAAATTTTGTACAGTATGAAAAAGATTTATTCCCCCACCCCAACGTCAGCCACAAACTTTACAGAAAGTACCATAAAATGCATGGTGGAGGAAGGACTGTGACCTCATTTCCTACCTGACCTCCAAGGATGTTCCTCTGTACTAGATATCTGTATAGGGAAACACAGTATCAGGATGAAAACAGAGGTCAAAAGATTATTTTGGAATTATATATTTGAACTCTGCCTAACTGTGAGGAGTTAATACAACTCCTCAGACATTCAGTCTGTTGCCCAAATGTAAGCATTGTTTTGTAAGACTTGAGGATATTTTCTCAGGATACAAATAGAGGAGGCTCCAGCTTTCAAGGAGTCTCTGCCCTTAAACTCAATGAAATGGCAGCTAGTGCCCTCGTTTAAAACTTCCTCTTAGAATGAAGATCACTTAGCTCTAAATTGAACAACTTGATATTTATTATAGCTATCATCAGCAGTATCTACCCAGCCACTTAAAAAACTCTTTTTTTCTTCTCCCTCTCTCTCCCCTTTGGTTTTAAGAATTGAAGAAACAAGTGCAGACCTGAGGAAACAAGTGGTTAGGTTAGAAGAAGAACTGGACCAAGAACGAAAGAAATACACGATGCTGGAGATAAAGCTGAGGAATTCCGAACGTGCTCGTGAAGATGCTGAGAAGAGAAATCACCTCCTGCAGAAGGAAATGGAAGAGTTTTTTTCAACATTAGGATGTTTAACTGTTGGGAGTCGAAGTGCTAAAGTCCCCAAGTAGAACAAGCTGATGCACAGCGTAGAAAATTCTATTTCTGGCAAAACCAGTGAAAATGCACATTTTGTTCTGGTAAACTCATGTATCATGAGTAATTCCACAGTGACTGTGCTCTCGGTGACACTTGCTCTGTTGTCTTTACATGTGCTGTAGTATTTGGGCCAGCTGGGAAGGACTGCTAAACATAATGCTTGAAAGTTTAGATGTCAGATTGCCAAGAAATCAAAAGATACTATTCTCCGTAGCTGTACTGCTGCCATCTTCGGATTTACTGCACCATCCTTTTGCTGGCTCAAGGACAGTGGGAAGGCCTGCAAGGTGGGTGGGAGGGCCAGAACTGATGGACAGGCTGAGCCTGGAGCTGAGGGCCTCCTACACTCGCGCTTGGGAAGATGGCAGTTCCAGTATGTCACCACAGTCAATGTGGTTTAGCGTATGGATTTAACATGAGGTGGTGTTCTTCCCCCCTCCCTACATAAAGTTTGTTCAAATTTCTCATCCCTTAAACTGGCATTATTTTATGAAAATGCTTTGAAAACAAAGTCTACAAACAAGCTGAAGACACCAAAATCTTGACAATTTACTGAAGTTGTCCCTTAGTCACTGAACAGTTCTGGTTCTTCACAAAAATGCAACTTATTAAAGTGTGATTAATAATCAGATTGGCCACACAAACTCCATGGAACTTCTTTAAATATGTGTATTTTGCCCTAGGTATATCTGGGTTTTTTTGAGCCAAAAATAGAGCAGTATTAGCTGCTAGGAAAAAATCTCATGAGTTCATATGTACTGATTAGACATCAAGGTAGGAGAAGAAAGATTCTTATCATCAAAACACATCCAACTGCTGAGGGTTTTTATCTATAAAACTTTAATAGCAAAGCCTATGGTAAGAGAAATTAGTGCAATTAGTGCTGGAAAGGGGGAAGGGTGGGATCTATCTTTAACCTTCCCAGGACAACTTATGCTTAGCTGCCTTGCAACATTTCTCATGACGCCAGCTGATTTTTTGTTGTTAGTTCACAGGGAGATGAGGGGACAGGAGGAATATAGTGAACAACCCAGCAGTCTAAGTTCATTGCTTCTACTAAAGAAATGACATTAGAATGAAGCTGTAATTTCCAGTAATTAGCTGCCAGGGCTCACTTCCCTTCAAGGGACTTATTCTTTGAGAAGTTCTGCATAACATTTCTAGTGCCCTGAGCCACGCAGAGCCTGCACACAGAAAATTGTTTCACCAGATTCAGCCTGAAGTCCGCTCACCAGCCCAGCACTCGCAGCACTATTCGCTCTCCCTTGACATGTATCTTTGACAGCTGAGGCAGCTTGGGAAACTCAGAGGAAAAAGATTTTTAATGGAAAAGTGCCACAACAACATGAGCTGGCTAAAGGGAAAGTATAGACTGAAGTGAAGGTGCTTGCTTTATTTAAGTATTTTCAAAAAATGACCTGAATCCATCTTTTCTTACTAGAGCATATAACTCATTGTCTGGAAATAGTCTTAGAATGGGCTTTTTTACATACCAGCAGATTGTACACCTTTCACTTTCTCCTCAAATCTCACAGATATCCAGGTATTTCAATATTTAAACATCTGGAAGTTAAATTGTTTCTACCTCACTGTAATGCTTCTCCTTCCTATAGAAATGTAAGCCATTTAAAGTGAGCAAAAAGAAACATTTTAACCTAATCTTTCCTGGTTAAGACAAGTCAAGCAAGGTGGTAAAGTAAGCCGTGAGGATAGGTTAATTCAGTTATTTCAAAACATTTTCCCTTCTTCCCAGAATATCCAGCTGTGCTGGATTCCTTACTGCCCCTGGTGTGAGGCAGTGTGGCAGGTACCTGAGTGTTGAACAGGAGCAGCCTGCCACCTGCAGGCACTAGCATCGCCCTTATCTTTTTTTCTGTGCCCCCCCCCTTGCCTTGTATTATTACCGATAGTCACAACTGACCCTGCAAGGAAGACGACTGTGTGTTTAAAACAGCAGCATTAAGATGCATAATGTGAGAAGCAACTGTTGTTAACAATGATTTTGAGCTGGAACCGCGTAGTGGGTTAGGTAGCGTTAAGTACCATGCCGGTCATCACAAAATAAACCTTAATATTAGAGAGTGGCCTGAACTGGGTTGTAAGACACATATAGCCCACATCCCTTAGACTATTTATATTGTATTATCTCCCGTATGTATCAAGTGCAGACTACTCCCTTTAGTTCTGGCACACTACAAACTTAAGAACTGAAGCCATGCTGACTGGGAGCCTAAAAAACAAATCTGCAAGACAAGCACTAAATATGACTGCTGGCTAACTCTCAGTGAAATCAAATGCAGCTGGAATTCTAGATATTCTTTAAGTATTTAAACTTAGGTAACTGCTATATAGAGCAGAACTGGGGAACAAACCCACCTATCTCAAATCTTCAGCTCCAGGGTAGGATCATCTGTCAGCTATGTAGCACTACATAATCTTAATCTGGCATCCAGGATAAAATTAATTCTTCTTTTCAGTATCACAAATGAAACTGTATCCACTTTGATTAACGACATAATCTTAATCTGGCATCCAGGATAAATTTCAGTATCACAAAGGAAACTGTATCCACTTTGATTAACAGAACTAACCATTTCCCGGCTGACTATTGTGCTCCAGCAACACCTATTCCTCTTGTTCATGAGGAACAAATTTCTGGTCCTTTTGAAGATGATCCACTGCAGTAAATGAAGCCTGCAGGAAGCTGCAAACTAGCCAGTTCATGCCAAAACACACCACAGTGGGATGTTAACTCTAAAGCACAGCAACAGGAGCATAATGTTAATTTCCCATCGTGGGCAATTATGCAAGAAATGGGAACACACTTGTGCTGTTGTACACAACCTCGTGGAACACTGTGCCCTTATTTGAGGAAGATGACGACACACTCTTTCCTAGCTTTAACGCCTGTTTCTGTACTCTCCTTCCCACAACTGCATTTGCCACCTTCACGGATCTGAGAGAACACTCCTTATTTTGCAGACCTTTAGCTTATTACAGCCCCTAGTTTAAAGTGCCAGCTTTCTTAGCAAGCGTTTACAAGAGACAGGTTTGATAGTATTAATAAGACATGATGAAAGGCTCCTGGAATCAGGTAGATACATTTTTACCACAGCTTTTACCTGTGCAATCTTCCCAGCCTGGAACATCCCTTCCAGTATTATGCTAGCAAAAAGTGCAAAAAATTTTCAGTGAAAGAAATCCAACACAAGCATATGCTTAAAAAAAATATCCAAAGGCAAACAGCAGCATTCCAGAATAACAAAAAACTTCTGTAGGTCTCCATGATATTTTCTAATATGAAAATTAATAATAGCTTATTGAATTATCTACATTCGCCAAATAGGCCTACGCAAGCCAGCAGCACTGTGGAGCATTTCGGTTCTGGGCTGAAGTCACCCACAGACAAATCCCTGGCAGAGCTAAAACTGTCTCAGGCCTTGCTCTATATTAATCTATTACTCGGAATCAGCTACACTTTATGCTAACATATACAAATAAAAAAGAGCATTTCTGAGCCTCACCACATTCCTAGAAGAGGACCTCACGAATAGCTGGTCCAGAGAAACAAAGCAGGCTGCACTGTACTGCCCGCAGTCACAGCACCTTTCCCTTAAAAACGAACACAAAGACACTGTAACAGCACGCAGACAAACACAACTCGAGGGCATCTTGAGTCTTCGTTTAAAGAAACGCCGAGAGCCTGCTGGAAATGAAGGCAGTGAAGTGCATTACGTTAGGATTTAGCCCCACTGCAGAGGTGCCAGTGCAGGAAGTGGTCCTGGCACCCAAGTTAGCTCTCCAGTAAGAGCTCTACAGAAGCCAGATCCTTCCTTCAGGCTTCTCCGAGACTCAGTTTTGAGAAAGATCTTCCTGAGGGCACAGGGACTGGGCCCTCCTTTCATACACTAGACAGCCCATGGCTTACCTCCTCCTGCAAGGCAGGGTCTCAGCAGCTGTATTTCCAGGAAAGGCGGCGGCTAGAGTTGGCAGCGCGGAAGTGAGAATGGATTCCCAGCGGTCGCAAACCCACTTGGTATTATCAGTCTGTGGCACATCCAAAGCCCATGGGAATGGAGAAATGGAAGAAACGTTGTCACTTTGCCCACGAGTGAGCTCACACACAAGACAGGACTTTAAGTACCATTAAAACCAGACGAATTCTCAGGAAGGACTGATGCCAATGAAACTCCAACTGCAGCCTTATTATAAAATCCATACGAAATCCATTCCAGCCTAGTAATGAAGAAGCACTAAATGCATAGCGGTCAAATTTTTTTTTTTCCTTTTTTATTTAAAATATCATTATAACCAATTGACATACTAGATAACAATGTTTACATTCCAGTGGTGCACATGTAATGACCTATGGCATGAATGAGTAAAAAAACCACAATGTTCTCAGTAATGCCCCACCAACAGCTTATTTGGAGGGAATAAAGGAAAAGCAGGAAAAGGTATCAAATGTGGGGAAGAAAAAAAAAAAAAATTACAGTTTTTCCCAGTATTTTTAATGGTGTATCTTCCCCTTCATATTTCTTGGGACAAAATAAAATTAAGAATATATTTCAAAAGGGGCAGAAGGAATGATCACAATAATTAGGGGTTTTTTTCTCAACTTTAGTAATAAAAGTTAAAGAACTCTCAAAAATAGACTAGATATTGGGCCTACAAAAGTAATTCATCTGTATGCAAAGCTTACCAAGAATTATTCCTTTTGTAAAATGTAAAGGATGAGCTGACATTACTAGTAAGCCATTTTTACCTACAAAACCAGACTACAATAATAAAATCACCAATTTACAGCTAACACAACAGTCTAGATGTACATTATTGTACACGAGCTATATATTACACATGAACATCTTACGTGAAATATATAAGAAACATACTTACTGATATTGTCTCAACTATTGGCCAATAGGTTTATTTTTCTAAAGGAAGTGTATTTTTCTATTCACATTCAGTGTAG